GATAACAAAAAAAAAACACCTCTCCCCTTGCTTTCCTTCTCTCTACTCAGCCCTTACTTTTCCAGCAGGCTCTTGATCTCTCTACAAAACAGTCCTTGCTTTTTAGTTTCATGTCCTACAACCTCACAAAGCTGTCACCCCCCAGTTCTCTCTCTCCTACTCTTTTCTTTCACCTATTAATTTCCTGACTAAGAGTCTCACTCTCTGAATGAAGGACCTTTTGCTTTCTATACTGCACAGCTGAGCACTCCACTCCCAGCACTTGGTACCTCTCCCTCCTGCAGATTGCCCATGTAAACAGCTTAACAGAACTTGATGGTCTCATTACAGCTACAAAACATTTACATCATGTTATCTACTTGGAAAAACTTGCCAGCAATATTCTTAGGCAACAGACTTCCCTTCTTAATTCTGCTTTTGCTCTTCTTAATACTAGCTGAAAGCACGAAGCTCTAGAATTGACACAAAACCCATGTTATTTTCCTATTATGCACATCTCTTCTCATTATGCTTTATCCTTAGTTGATGAAAGAACCCACAGACAAGTAAGACACCTCTCTTTCTGCTCCAGATCTCTGCCTGCCTCATCTGATCAGCACTTTATGCTAGCAACTGCCTTTGATTAAGTGCTTAATACAGTGCACAGCACTGTGCAGCCTCAGATTTCTCCTGCATCCCTATATCCAAATAATGATCATTAGTCCTTTTTTTTTCATGTACTATGTATTTAACCTCCAGGTTCACCTAATGCAATACCTTTTACTTCTAAAGTTACCAGTTACTCTATAAACTAAGGTTTGGTTAAGGTTGCCACAGAGAAATAACTAGATCATTCTATCATCATTAAATCCTTTTTATCTACAAAATAGTGACACCCGCCTCAGGAAATACTGCTTTCAGGAGACTGCTTTGACAATTAAAATATAGTGATTATAAAAAGCTATTTTCCAGCACAGACCTCTAGGCAAGACCAGAGCCTTCACTTTGGAATTGAGCTCTGCTCCTCAGTGTTTCAAGGCCAGGTAAACATATTCAGCTCAAACTCAGGCCTTTCTGCATCCCTTGAGTACACTCCTTCTCCTATTAGCCAGTACAGCTCTTACAGAAAGAATTAAAAAAAAAAAAAAAGAAACAAACAAACACATTAAAATCTGAAATGCAGCTAACTACTACTGCTCTGGAAAATCTTTTTTTAATTTTTCCTTCAAAGCACCTATCTTTCACTCTTTACATATGGCTGAAAGAGAATAGGCATTTGAAATACAAAAGCTCTCCTAGAAGAAAGGGTGAGCACACAAGGCTAAATGCAACAGGACTAAAAGCTTTTCTCCTTTTTTTGTTTCATGTGTAGGAAAAGAACCAAAGTTTTGTTGAAACAGCAATCTGACAAAGAGAAAGATAACAGCTGATCATCCCTCCCCTCTAAAAGACAAAAAAAAAAAAAAAAAAAAAAAAATTGAGATATTAGAAAAGAAATACTCACATTTAAAATAGCAGACATTGCCAAATCCACATCATGTATTAGCTACCCTTTAGATAGTGGTCAGAAAAGTCAAAACCTCTCCTTTGTTCACAGTTTCTTTATTATTATTATCCTACTTCTATATCACTGCTCTGTTTAATAGCCTGGGGTCAGGCTCCAATTTACCAGACTGCATATTGTTAACCCTATAATGTATTGACTTCTTTCTGCCTTCTCAGCACAATATCACTACCCATGCATTGCAGAGAATATATAATGTATTACAGTCTGCAGTCAATAAGTAAAACAGGGAAGATTTCTAAAAAACTTACACCCAAACTGAATACACAACATATGATTTTTATCATATTCAGCTGTCCTTCTAAAAACAGTGTTAGTTTTCCTCCATTTGTCATGCAACAGAATATGATTAGCCTTTTCAGAGTTTCATGAGGGACGAAAAACAACCTCCCTTTCCAGCACAGCCCACAAAAAGGCTGTGAGAATTGCAGGTTTTATGCTCACCTTTGTACAGGGGCTCTGTTTTCTTAGGGAGATCCCCTAACAGTGGAAACGACAGGGGTTCTATGCTCTGCAACAGCTCCACAATAGGAAAAACTGCTGCTGCTCCATTCTGAAGTACTCCTTATCAAGGACACGACAACTACCTTGCCACTCTGCTCAGCTCATAGGTTAAACAAAACAGGCTGGTGCTGGGCTGTCTTTTATATAATAGTCCAAATTAACCACAATTTTGGTGAAAATTAATAATACTGAGCTTCTTACAATAACAAAAATCTGACCTCAGGTTTTTTGGTTATTGCTAGCTTCAGTATTCTGTTCATTTATCAATTACTTTGTTATGCAGCCCGCAAATTAGTAACGTCAAAGCTTTTGCTGACTGCTAATTCTCTTAGGTGATACATATTGCACAAATAAGAAAGCTACATTAAACTGCCAGCATTATGTACAGCACGACATTTTCCACTTTCCCCAGAATGATTGATCATAGTCATGTTCACACTGGTTCAACCTCCTGTGCCATAATTTATTGGGAAACTGATCCGTAATTGCTGGTATGACTTTGACAAGAATTATATGATGAGAAGATTTCCATTATGAACCATGGAGAAATATCAAGTGTTATCCTCACATATGACAATGAAAGCTACATTGACACTCCATCCAGTCACATCACTTTCTATATCCATACATATTACCCCTTTAGGAAGGGTGTTTTTCTCCTAGCTGCTACAAAGATTCCAAGGAGGCGGTAAGACGGAATTTTCAAGCCTTTTCAAAGTAAAACTTAATCACCCACAGAACCAAAAATCTTTACCCCTAGCTATCGAGTTTTGGGGAAAAAAAAATATGAAAGCCAGAACATATACAATGTCACAAGCAAGCAAAGAAATTAGAAATAGAATTGTTATAGTAGATGGCACAATGAAGCTGGTTGATTTACTGTGTCTACATGCCCAAAGGAAGCACTGGTATCTTTATTTCCCTGGATATAGTACTGTTGCACCTCACGCTGCGCTGCACACTAGCTCACTTTCACTGGAGAAGAAATTGCCCATCCATTCATTCTTCTGGATATTTCTCTGCCTTTAACAATGAAAGCACTAAGGCCTTTCTAGTCCACATTTACATGTCTAAATACCACTGTAAGCATCATCAGACATTACTGAATCCAAGAGAGCTCTGAATGCATCACACCATTGACCGCTTCAGCATTATTTTAAAATCGTGCTTCATGTTTCAGTGACTAAATATGGACTTAAAGTTAAGCATCCATTTAATTACGATGACAGGTATACCTTGCTCTACCCTGTTGCTATGGTAACAGATATGGTAGTCATTAGATTTATGGTAAAACACATTCCTAAAAGGTGGGTTTTTTCATTCTCGTTTGCATGATCGTACCAAACTACCTAATTACAAAGAGAACTCAGAGGATACGCTCCTAGCTGAGCTCAGCAGCTCCCACAAGTCCTGCATTCACCTTCTTTGGGTTTAAATGTGAGAGATGAAATATGCTGATGCTTTAAACAAAAGATGTCAAAATTCTTGCTCCAGGTGGAACTATTGAAAAATTAAGGGGAGATCATATGCTAAGCATGACTTAACTGAGTTTAGCTATCCCAAATCCTGTACAGCATAGAAATGAAAACATTTAGCACCTGTGAGACCATCCTTTTCAGCTTAATTGAAAAGCAATGGTAATGATTTTTTAAATTCCAGACACATTTCCTGCCTTTTATTGAACACATATCAGAATTCTTCTTCTGGTTTAACATCTTAAACATACCTTATAGTGAAATCATTTACATTCAAAGCTGTAGATGTTATAGTTTTCATCAAAATTCTCAGTTTTCCAAATTTTTATAAGTCAGGTAAGGGGAAAAGAAAAACCTACTTCAACAACAGCTGAGAAAATAGTGTCACAGCTGTCATACAAGTAGCTGGGAAAACATTCTTAAGCTATAGCCATTCAAGTAAATGTACACCACAGCAAACAACTATTTAAGTTCTTTTTCCTGTCTCTTTTCCTTGTCAAGCTCAAAAGAAGAAAGTATTGCATTAATTAAAACATTTTCACAATATTTTAAATTATAAGGTGGTTACATTCTTACATTTTGTACATTTCTTTTTTGAATATCATGATGTTAAATTAACTCAGAAGCTAATTTAGTGTTCAAGGTTTCCATAGATAAGGGTTTTAAAGTATGCTTGTGCTCTAATCCAGTTTTCAGTACTAACCTTTGCATTTGTAATTATACAAGTAACAACCTATCTGAAACCTAGTGGGGAGCTCTGATGCTTTCTGAAGTGCTCCCATTGATGCTAAGGCCAGACTGTATACCCAGACCTCAA